ACACCAAAGATTTTCAGTTGGTAGGAAATTTTGAATTTTGCCAGGGTAGCATCCGAGGCCTACTCTTATCGATTTTAGACCACCAAGGGATCTTTAATGTGCGCAACTTGCACACAGGAATTTCCAGTTTCCAACTACTCTCAAGCTTTGGAATTTACCAAACTCTGGCCATCATTTTCTTGTTAAGTTTACCCCTTATATGAGTCGACCCCCACCACCTTCATGTAAGGTAAATATCTCCACTTTTATTCAAGCAAGACCGATACCAAAATTTGACGAGCGCCTGATTCCACCACATTGCATCCCAACACAAATCAGGAATTCACATATCTAAATACCGTCAGCAAGCTGTTCAACTGTTCTAAAGCCAAAAGGCAAATTTTTTTTTTCAGGCGAAAGCAAAAACAAAATTATTCTTTTCAAAACTGTAGCTACATCATAAATCTTTTCTTGCTGGGTTTTTTGGTTTTTTGGGTGTTTTTTGTTGTTTTTTTCCAGTAACATTCAGAATTTGAATTTCAACCAAATATTTCTTGAGCACACCAAATCCATACTATACCATAGATTAAAAACCATCAATGAAAAAAAAAAAGGAAAAAATATCGAGTTTAGCACATTTGAACAGCCGGCCGACGAAACGGAATACTAAAACATAGTACAGGTTTTAAAAAAAAGGAAAAAAAACCTGCGTTAAAAAAAATATTGCAGTGGGTCCAGGAACGGAGGACTTGATTGACTGACAGACCGACCCCAGAGGAGGTGGGAGAGTCACTGAACCCAGTTCCCAGTTCTTATCGCAAAATACATCCGTCGGTACCAAATGCCCAGGGAAAAAAAAACCCACAACATCGAGGCATGTTGAGCGACGATCAGCCGCTACATACACACACAACCCCTGCCATGTCCTCTTTTGGCGGGGGGATAAGAAAAAAATTTATTTTTTTTAAACGACTGAAAATTGATAACGTATCCTTTGGGCAAACGGAGACAGAGTGACGTCGGCGAATAGATAGAAGGGGCAGTCAACATTATTAATTACATAATTCCAAGAAGGTTGGGCATTACATTTTGTGACAAATTTCTTTTTTTTTTTAAACTACTAAAAAAGGATCATCAACACCAAAAGTTTTATACAAGGGACCAACAAGGGACCAACAAGGGAACAAAAGAGTAGAAATATCTAAGTAGATGCTCACAGAGAAGCACATGATGACATGTCTCCTCAGACGACCAAGTAACGTTGCCAAGAATTCAGGATGACGAGAAGAAGGCCAGTGTGTATATAT